AAGGAAATGGAAGTCTGATAGTATACCGAGTAAGGAAGATTTGTTTAGCAATCTTTTTGAAGTAATCGAAATGGACAAGCTGAACCTGTTCTTGGCGGGTAAATCAGAGGAACAATTTAAACAGAAATGGCAAAACGCCATAAAATGGTACGGAGAAAAGATGTAATGTCAACCCCCAGTTGTAAGAAAATGAAAGATTAATGTATGTAAACTTTGGAAAATTGAAAATAAAACAATTAAAAAAACACATGGCATTTGGTTGCCCGCCACAAAGTTTGTGTGTGTGTGTGTGGGGGCTTTCAGTGCTGCAGGTGCCCAGGGGGATGACATCTCATCCTCTGCTCCCTCTCAGCTGTAGAGTCTTCTGAGCAAAAATCCTACTTTGTGAGCTACTGGCATTAAAGAAGAAGAGGAGATTGGATTTATACCCTGCCCTTCACTACCCAAAGGAGTCCCAGAGCAGCTTACAATCTCCTTTCCCTTCCCCTCACCGCAGCAGACACTCTGTGAGGTAGGCGGGGCTGAGAGAGCTCTTTCCAGAACTGTCCTTGAGAGAACAGTTCTTATCAGAACTACGGCTTGCCAAAGGTCATCCAGCCAGGTGCAAGTGGAGGAGTGGGGAAATCAAACCCGGTTCTCCCAGATTAGGGTCCGCCCACTTAACCACGACACCAAACTGGCTCTCAAAGTTGTGAGTGAGTGATTTGGCTACTGCAGAGTCTGCTCTGTAGCCCTCCTTCCTGAGCTAAGGCAAAAATGTGTGAGCCGTAGGCTAAAAAACCGTGACCCAGCTCACACTAAACTCGGCTTAGAGGGAGGGGGAACAATGATCTCAACCCCAGGCTTGCCCAGCGGCTCATCTTTGCTGCAGTCAAGGAAAGGGCAGTTGCAGCTTGGTCATCACAGGAAACCTGCATCCTTCTATCAAGGCCTCGGGAATGATGTCACCGCTATTAAAAGCGTGTCTGCAGTGGAGCAAACACTCCAAATACTGCCACGCTCCTCTTGGCGATTTTTTTTTTAAAATTCATAATTTGTTAACCAGCCTTGAGACTTTCTCTCTTCTCTGTCTTAGGTACGGTGCAGTGGAAGAACTTTGAATTAAAAGCTTCCCCCCCCCTCCCAAGTTATACCAGCTTCCTTTTTCACTTGGGAGCTCTTCTTAGAAGGATCCCTGGACTGGCTGTTCAAGTCCTTCGTTTTTAATAACGCTTTTGATTAATTTGGGGCATCCGTTCTTGCAAACCACAATTGATAATGTATTGGAAAAGCAGTTAAGTTCAGTGCTTTTAAAAAAGATGCCACCTAAGCACTACAACAGACACCCCAAAAAAGGCTATAGCAGGCCTCATCTTTAGGCCACATGAAGACATAACAAAGACAAAAGCACCTTTGGGCATGTGCAGAATGCCTTATCACATGGGACTCAGGAGCAATGTTTCAAACCTTTTAGAATGATTGGAATCAGGGGTCATTTCCTGCAGGAGCGCACAGGAGCGGAGCTCCGGCAATAAAGAGCCAAGGGGGCGGGCACATGCAACAAGCCCCCCCCTGCTCCCAGCAGCCCTCAGTCAGAGCAAGAAGCAGCCAGATAAGCTGCAGAGCCCCCCCCCCGGCCCCCCAGTCCACAACAGTCCAGTGGCACCTTTAAGACCAAGTTTTATTCAGGTCCAAGCTCTCCCTCCTCTGCAAGGACAGATCTGCATGTCCCCCCCACCAATAGCTAGCAACCCAAAACAGTCCAGTGGAGCCTGAGCGGTGGGTGTTGCCTTCTGACACACTTCCAGTGATGTCAGGGTGTGTGGCATATGCAAATAAGTTATGCTAATGAGTTATGCTAATGAGCTCCTGCACCTCTTTTTTTACGAAATGACGCCTGTTTGGAATTAAGGGCATGAAAGGAGAGAGTTCCAGACCAGCTTTTCAGTCAGTATTTCAAGTATCTGGTCAACAACAGGAGGCATTTTCTTATTAAAAATCAATGTCAAGTTTCTCTTGGGTCTCTTTTATGGGAACAGTTGATTCTATGGGTGGCAAAAGGGGAAAGCAGAAGAGAAGCACTTAATATAGATGCGCATCCCAGCCAAAGCCATGTTATTTCTTTGGGCTGTTTAAAACAAACAAACAAATAAATACCTGGCACTGGCCAGAAGGCTCATTGGCAGTACAAATACCTCACTTCTACTTTTGCTTGTCACATTAGTGGCAATTTGCGTACAGTTGTATCTCTGTTGCGGACCTATTGAAACAACGGCCACTGGATATCTCCTATGTGAAAATGCGGAAGTCCTTTCAAACCACCACCAACCCCAGCCTGAGTGCAGACAGCGCAAGAGTGGAATCAGCTGCCCGGGGAGGTGGTGAGCTGCCTCTCACCGGCAGTCTCCAAGCAGCAGCTGGACGAACACACTTGTCAGGGGACAGTGTTCCCTCTAAGCTGAGTTAGTGTGAGCTAGCTCACAGTTTTTTAGCCTCCAGCTCACACATTTTTGTCTTAGCTCAGGAAGGATGGCTCCAGAGCAAAGTAATTCATGCAGCAGCCAAATCGCCCACTCACAACTTTAATGCCAGTAGCTCACAAAGTAGGATTTTTGCTCACAGGACTCCACAGCTTAGAGGGAGCATTGCTCCAGAGCAAAGTAATTCATGCAGCAGCCAAATGGCTCACTCACAACTTTAATGCCAGTAGCTCACAAAGTAGGATTTTTGCTCACAGGACTCCACAGCTTAGAGGGAACATTGGTCAGGGATGCTCTAGACTGAATCCTGCACTGAGCAGGGGGTTGGGCTAGATGGCCCGTAGGGCCCCTTCCAACTCAGATTCTAGGATTCTATGAGTTGTTCACTGAAACACTGAACCATGTTTGAAAAGATTCAGGGATGCACAAGTCGGTTGAGAAACTGGGCAGGATTCAGTTAGGGAGCGGACAACTGTATCATGCAGATAAATATAAAGCTGCTGAGTCCCACCTGGAAATTATGCTTTTTATCTGCTGGGGTTCCTTCCCCCCCCCCCAATCCAAGTAAATTTTAAAAAAACAACTAAAAACATTTTATTGCCAGCTGCCTCGGGCTTCATACCCAAAGGTACGCCTACTGAAAAAGACCTTTAAAGGATCCCAAAGTACAAAAAGAAGTTGCAACGGCTGCCTCAAACCCCTCGCTGATCCCCTTGCCTACTTATCTCTTTGGCCTGCGGCAGCCTCGCTTGGTGCCTTGGTGCATGCGTAAAAGTATGTGAGCACCATCTGCAGGTGGGGAACCGAGCAACCTTCCCACATTCCGTGGCACTTACTTCTTTCATACATGAAATAGGTTATCAAAAACCAAGGGAGAAAACTCTTCATTTCCAGAATAGCGAATTTATAGATAGACCTGCCCCTCTCCATGAGCCAGGAGCTGTCACAAGGACCACAGGTATGACAAGTTTCCATCAGATCCGCCCCATTGCCCTCTTGTCACAGTCTGAGAGAGTTTCACGTGAGTAGCTGTGTGCCAGTTTGGTGTAGTGGTTAGGAGTACGGACTCTAACCTGGGAGAACCGGGTTTGATTCCCCACTCCTCCACATGCGGCTCCTGGCCTGACCTTGGGTCGGCCACAAGTTCTGTCAGAGCTGTTCTCTCAGGAGCAGTCCTCAAAAGAGGTCTCTCAGCCCCACCTACCTCACAGGGCATCTGTTGTGAGGAGGGGAAGGGAAAGGAGTTTGTAAGCCGCTCTGAGACCCCTTCGGGTAGTGAAGGGAGGGGTATAAATCCAATACTTCTTCTTCTTAGTCTGCGGAAGAGCAAGACGTGGGAAGACCCACCGGCGCCTCAAAGACCGACAAGATTTCCACGGTATAAACTTTCCAGGGTTTAACCTTGTTTATATACTACATAAGAAGGTTATACCCTGGAAATCTTGTTGGTCCTAAAGCTGTTGGTGGTGGAAACTGGGCTCCAATCTTGTCAGAGAGAGAGACAGAGAGAGAGAGAGAGACAGAGAGAGACAGAGAGAGAGAGACAGAGACAGAGAGAGAGAGACAGAGAGAGAGAGACAGAGAGAGAGAGAGAGAGACAGAGAGAGAGAGAGAGAGAGACAGAGAGAGAGAGAGAGAGACAGAGAGACAGAGAGACAGAGAGACAGAGACAGAGAGACAGAGAGACAGAGAGACAGAGAGACAGAGAGACAGACAGAGAGACAGAGAGACAGAGAGAGACAGAGACAGAGAGAGAGAGAGACAGAGACAGAGACAGAGAGAGACAGAGACAGAGAGAGACAGAGAGACAGAGAGACAGAGACAGAGAGAGAGAGAGACAGAGAGAGAGACAGAGAGAGAGACAGAGAGAGAGAGAGACAGAGAGACAGAGAGACAGAGAGACAGAGAGAGACAGAGAGAGACAGAGAGAGAAAACACTGTGGCCCGTTCTGCATCTAGCATCTGCTCCACTGTCTTACCAAACCCACTCCCCTCTACACTGCATGCCACTTTCACTTTGATTGTCAGATTTTATGGCAGCATCCAGACCGCATGCCGGCTTTCACTTCATTTGATCTCTCGGGTTTTATGGTAGACGTCTGCATAGATTAATGGCCGTTTTACGGCCATTCAGGGGTGACGCTGCAGGTACGGCATGGGCCCGGCGTAGTTGAATGCGGTTCTGAGCGGCATCATTTTCCAGGGTGGGTTTGGTAAAACAACGGAGTGAATGCTAGATGCCGACTGGGCCTGAAAGTGCTGTGCTGATGCCTCCATCCTTTCAGTTCTACAGCTACTTTTAGTCCCCAAAGCTGCTTTTCGGCTACTTGTCCCCCAGCTCCAGAGCGCCTGTCGAAGGGCCAGAGTGTCCCCTGACCCTCCTAGCCGACCTTTTCAAACAAAGTCCACCCATTAGCCTTTCTCTGCTTTACCAGAGTGCCAATTAGAGTCGATCCCGTCAGCTTGCGTGAGGGGCAAGAGCTGGCTGCCGCAGGCACCCGGCAGAAACCTCTCGCCCCGTCCCCGAAGCAGGCCACTTACTTGCACTTGTGGCCGAGCTGAAGGCCAGGAGCAGCGCTAGGCAGTGAACCTTCTCCATGACGCGGGATCCGTCCTCCTCCCGGCTGCTCTTAGCCCGTGTCCAGAGGCAGAAGGTCAGGAGCACCGATCTCGGCTGGGCTGCAGGGTTTCACAAGGGACCACGAGAGACACAGCCGGGGCAGCTCAGCCTTTCTCCACTCCAGCCTTGGGACGTTCCAGAAAGCGCTGAGGATGGAGGCCAGGCGGCAGGCTGGAAAAGCGAGGCTGGGCTGTGGGTTGCCGTGATTGGGGTTCGCCACCGGCAGGCCGTGCGTCTCCTCCACGCTCCCTCTGCCTGACTGTTCGTCGCTGGCTCGGCTCGGCCCTGATGACCCACCGAGGCAGGAAATTCACTCCCTTTCAAGGAAGGTCTGCCAAGTTCTTGCCTGCCAAAACAGCAAGAGGAAATGCTGCTTTTATGCTGTTTTTTTTTTTAAAGGACGCAAAGCTCAGCTGCTGAACGTGCCGTGACCGCGAGAGGCAGCCGAAGACTTCAGGCCCCAGCTAGAGAAGCTGTCAAAGTCCCCTCTGCAGAAATGTTGGGATTCAGGGGCTGACCGACCTGAGGTTTTGAGAAGTTATACATGACCAACAGAGTTCTGCATCCGGATGCCTCGATGTGCAGATTTGCTGCAAGAAAAAGAACGGAATTTATTTATTCAGGCTTCGCTCACGCACACGAAACAATCCACTTTCAACCGACTTTCAATGCACTTTCCAACTGTAAAACCCAGTTGGAAAGTGCACTGAAAGTGGATGGAAAGTGGATTATCTCGTGGGCGTGAGCGCAGTTAGTTCTTTGTGGTGTGGTGGTTCGGAGTGTCAGACTAGTGTCTTGGAGACCCAGGTTCCAATTCCCACTTGTGCCACGGGAACTCACCGGGTGACCTTGGGCCAGTCCCACTCTCTCAGCCTAACCTACCTCACAGGGTTGTTGTGAGGATAAAACAGGGGAGAGGAGAACAGGGTCGCCAGGCCCTTACCAGCTGCTGGTGGGGGGCTTCAGGATCTTCTCTGGGGCATCTTCTCTGGGGGGGTTTGCCTTCAAACCCATAGAATTTGCCCCAAAACTAGAGCACCGCCCCCCAACACCCCCAAAGTGATGATGTCACTTCCTGGTGATGTCATTGCATCGGGGGCATCACCTAGCAATGTCCCTGTTTGGGGGTGGGGCTTTCCCTGGCAGGAGACTGAAGCCCCGCTTTCATGTGTGCTAAATAATGTGGTTTCAATCCACGTCAGCGGCTGTCTGCAAGTGCCATTTCACACAGTGAAATCCAGTTGCAAAGTACATTGAAACTGATATCCTGTTGGGAGATCTCCAGACCATACCTGGAGTCTCCCCCCCTAAAAAAAACAAATCTCCAAGAATTCCCCAACCTAGAGTTGGCAATCCTAGACAGTCTTGAGAGCGTTTTGGCAGTCCTGGAGCAATGCTCCCTTTAAGCCAAAGGTGTCAAACATGCAGCCTGGGGGCCGGATGAGGCCCCCGGAGGACTTCTATCAGGCCTGCAGTGGAACTGGCTGTCTTCTGCTTCTGCTGCTGCTGCGTCATCGTACCTTTGCAGTTTACAGATACACACCTGAACAGCACACTCAAGATTGCAACAGCAGAGACATTTTGATGCAATGATTCAGAGCAAGGGGTGTCAGTTATCAGTAGGGCTGCCAAGTGTGGGCGGGGGGCAGGGAAAACCCCGGTTTGAAGGCCCGATTTCCGCCGTGGCGGAATCGGGCCCCGGGGGGGCATCCGCCACGTTGCTCACGTTGGGGGCGTGGCCCAGATCGTCGGGGAGGGGAAACCACGATCTGGGCCACGCCCCCAACGTGAGTGACGTCGCACGCTGGCTCCCGGAGCCGGAGAAGCCTCCCCCGCTGGTGAGTTTGCCAAACTTGGCAACCCTAGTTATCTGTCTGTCTGTCTGTTCAGTCGCACAGTCGAGTCCGACTCTTTGCGACCGCATGGACCAGCTCCCGCCAGGTCCTCCTGTCTTCCGCTGTCCTCTGAAGTTGGCTCAATTTCATGTCCGTTGCATCTTTGTCACTGTCTAACCATCTCATCCTTTGCCGTCCCCGTCTTCTTTGACCTTCGATCTTTCCCAGCATCAGGGTCTTCTCCAGCGAGTGCTCCCTTCTCATTGGGTGGCCAAAGTATTTGAGCTTCATTTTCATTATCTGGCCTTCCAGGGAACAGTCAGGGTTGATTTCTTTTAGGATTGACTGATTTGATCTTCTTGCAGTCCAAGGGACTCTCAAGAGTCTTCTCAAGCACCATAGTTCAAAAGAATCTATTCTTCGGCGCTCGGCCTTCCTTATAGTCCAACTCTCGCAGCCATATCAGACACTGTTAAATAAACAAACTATTGCAAGAGTGCTGATGTTCTAAGCATGTTTTTATTTTAAGTTAAAAAAAACCTTTGTGTCTGTGTCCTTTATAAAGTTTATATCTCCGCTACCTAGCACTACGTTTTATGACACACATGGCCCGGCCCAACAAAGTCTCATTTATGTCAGATCTGGCCCCCATAACAAATGAGTTCGACACCCCTGCTCTAAGTGGTGGTCTTGCGAGCAAAAATTCTCCTTTTGTGAGCTACCAGCATTAAAGCTGTGAGTGAGCCAGTCTTGGCCGCTGCATAAATTAGTTTGCTCTGGAGCCTTCCTTCCTGAGCTAAGACAAAAATGCGTGAGCCAGAGGCTAAAAAACTGTGAGCTAGCTCACACTAACTGAGCGTAGAGGGAACACTGCCCTGGAAGCTCATTCAGGGGTTTGGGGTTTGTTTGTTTGTTTTTGCCTAACACTAGGCCTGTGTACCAGAACCAGAATTTATAAACAGAAACATATTGCACGTGCTCCAGGGATCTCTGCTACTTTTTGCGGCTCTCTGGTCCTCATAAAACACTGTCGTTTGTTTTGTGTGAGTTATTATTATTGTCATTTCTCTGAGTTCAGCTGACTCTGCTTGTAAGAATTCCATCTCCAGGCAGAAGTATATTATACCTATACTGATAAAAGAAAAGCTTCCCTCCCTTCCCTGGTCAATTTCTGTCCTCTTATCTGATAAAGTTGATAATTCAGTTACTAAAGCAGTAGCCATGTTTCTGGCCCTGGTGGCAAACAAAAAAAGGGAAAAGGAGGGGAAAGTTTAAACCTTTCTGACTTTATACTGTGTTTATCTGCTGGAGGATTTATCTGGTCTGACGATTCCACCTAGTGTAATACACTCATATTTGGACAATGCACTTTACTGTTTGTGATTGAGATGTTTTAAATAAGTCCTGATTTTTATTTTTATTTTTTAAATGGATGGTACCTTTATAAGTGTGTGTAAGTGTGCATAAGTGTGCTTAAGACTTTTGGTCATGCAAGCCGAAATAAATATTATTATCATTATAATTCCATCTCCAGGTTGGAGGATGGTCAGGGCTGGCCCATCCATTATGCGCACTGGGTGAGTGCCTCGGGCACCAGAGGCGGAGCGGCATCAAAACCAACCCAGCCGCCATCCTACCCACCCCTGGTGTCAGGATCCGTCATTAGGGTGGATGGAGTTGCCAGATATAGGGTGCGTTCAGACGGGGCGTTTCTGCCGACTGTACCGGTTGGAACCGGTGCAGGTGCAGTTTCTGCCGGCATAAACGCGATCACACTTACCCTCCATTTTGCGGATCCCTCCGGTGGATGCCCGCTCACACGCTGTGGGCGTCGGCATTTTTTTTTAAAGGACAGTTTGAGCATGCGCATAGGCAGCCATCCACAGAATGGTGATCTTTGCGCATGCTCAAAACACCCCATATTACATTTAAACTTTAAAGGTAAGGACTTACCTTTAAAGTTTAAAGACCTGGCCTCCCTGAAGTCCCGGACTCCTCCGATACGCTACACTAAGGGCTTTTTTTTTTTTTAACAAACGCTCAGGGCGAAGCTTCACCCAAGCGCATATTGCTTAGTTAAAAAAAAATGGCGGG